GAAGTCTTTGGATGATAGACTCATTGTTTCCAGATCCCTATGCCAAACATGAAAGCATAATTGAACTTCTAATTTGTATTGCAGTGTCTTCTTTTTTAAATTAATTGTGCAACTGCTTCCCTGTGGTGGTGCTAATACATCATATTATAATTTTAGGTTAGGGGCATTGATGTTATGCTCAGTGTGTGTGATCCCGGGTGGACTACTGGTGAGATGAAGCAGTGGACACGGTCGACAATATCAGTGATGGAGCCATCTGACACGTGAGATGATTATCCTCTTACATTAACATAGACTTTTGTGGGCAAATCAAAATTTGTAATGTAATAAACCCTGTGGTTGCTACATTGACAGGTCATACTGTGGTGTGTTCATGTTGGCTTGTATCAAATTCTGTGCCCGTAGGTTCACTACAAAATTTGGTTTGGTGAGTCATATTAACTGAAAATGTTTATTTTTGTGTCAACTGATGGTGATTACTTGAGAATTGTTTTAATAGTTTAAAATAATGTGCAGGGAAAAATTTCATCGGCCAGGGAAAACCTTTTCTTGGATGATCTTCTGTCGGATGAGAACGAAATGAAAGAAAAGTTGGAAAGCATCCTACCTGCTCCCAGGAAAACCAATCGCTCTCACTGATTTTTCCAACCAAAGTGTTAAGGAATGTAAAAACTACTTGTTATCTGTTTCTGGGGTTTGTGAATTTATGTTGGAGGAAGACTATGTGTTGTAAATAAGTTGGTATTTTATCAGGTGACTTAGGACTTAACACTCAGTGATTTGGTCACTAAAGTTGCAGTATTACTGGTCCTACAAATGGTACAATTAACAATAATTTTGGGTGCCATTATCCATGATCATGGTACTGCTTTTGTGCTTTATTATGTCAATGGCACATTGTATTGTGCTATTTTATCTGAATGGTACATTATGATGTCTTCTATTTTATGTGATGGTACATTTTGTGAATGATATTTGCCTTTAGGTCCCTAAATGGTACTACAGTTTGTGGGCAAATACTGCTGGTGCAATTATAACAAATTAAAATAATATTAATAAAACATTGCGAATGGAAAGTTTGAGGTAGTGCAGGAATCGGAATCGAGTTAAGCATTACATTGGATAATTAAAAGAAGTCTTTGAGGATAATAGGACTTACAAAATACATAAAATTCAGAAATACGAGTTAAACAGTTCAGTTTATTAGTTTACGAATCTGGAACAAAGGAACTTCAGCAGTGCACACTTCAGCTCGTTCTTTCTTCAGCATAGGTCCTTGCCCATTCCCAAATGGTGGTAGGAGCCGTCGAAAGCCAATCCGGAGTTGAAAAAAATAGCTCCTTGGTTCAGCCTCTTCGTCGGAGCTATACGGGTCATTGTTGAACTCCACAGGGGGCTGGTAACGTCGTGGAGTGTAGCCTGGTGGTGGCCTTGCCTACAAACATACAAACGTAAGGACATGTGTGAGTAGGGAATAGTGGATTAGATTCACACATATTAATATTAGTAATGGTACATTCATGTACCTTTAAATCAAAATGGTACAGTAATATGCTATTTATTTTAGTAGGGTACTTATAAGTACTGTTTTCTCATACTGGTATACAAAATGTAGTATGTAATTGCATTTATATTTTTCCCTGAGATTTATGATTGTTAATGGTACATTGTAAATGCTATTATAGTTTTAATAGTATAAATAACTGTATTACAAAGGTTAACTAGTGAAATAAATCAAGTGGTGGTGCTATTTTACGGCTTCAGTATTACTTAATCAAAAGGTTGAATTCATAACCCAACCTAATACTTATCACAACACAGTACATCCATAAAGGTACACAAAACTAGTAATTAGGATGAATGTGATTGAAGACATTACCTTGAAAACGACATCCAAAACCATCCCGGTTGGGGCATCCGAAGTGTACAAGAAGTTGCCCATTAGAGCTGACGGATTCCACAGCACCAACACCCCACCTGGCCTTCTTTGAGGTCCACAGTGATGCACCTCATACGAACCAGGTAGATCATACATAAGATATGTGGTAGATTCGGTAAATATTCGGGCTTCCAAAATGATGAACATCAAAGGGTTGAACTTATCAAATAGAGTTGTGAAGTGCTGAACAAACGAGGGCCTGGTGCATCCTCGGGCATTCCAAAATAGAACCACGGATCCATGATCCAAAACTGAATCAACACTGGACGAAATGTGTTCTCCCCTGTAACTTATGCGTTGATAGCGTTTACGGATAGGCAGATGTTGTTGGACTTTTGGCTTCAGTGTGGAACCCTCAACTTGGACCCTCAGTTGTGTGTAAGATATGTCGACTTACATCACTTGGAGTGTATCTGTGTATGATCCAAAAAAGATATGGCGCCAATTCATGGGAAAGCTATAAATTGGGGTGGTTTCGATGTTGAGAATGGGTTTCATGTCAATTGCTTCAGCCAAATCGCTTGGTATAGTTAACCCAGTAGATGAGGAGTAGAACCCTTGGAGCATCCAATACAACAAGATACAAGCCCCTTCACTGTAGGAACCCACCAAGTCCTCGATCAGTGGGAGATGTCCTAGAACAGGGCTCCCATCTGGCACAACCATGAATTCGGTTGGCGAGCACATTGACTGAAGAAGATATGCTCTTAAGCTTTGTGTAGGGTAGCTAACCCCATTAAGCAGCTCATCATTCCCCTTGAAATATTCAACAAGGTTAATGTTAATTTCATTATCTTCCCTTTGTAATTTTTGAAAGTACATAATGGGATTTTCTGGGTGGCATGTGTTAACATCAAGTGTCGGCGTTTGTGTCATTACAGAGGTGAAAGCACGGTGGAGGGACTGACTCATGTTGTTGGAGTGAAAAGGTTGAAGCAGGGGTGGGGATTGGAGAAGAGGATAGGAAGAGTTCTAAAATTGAAGAACAAGGTGGAATAATATGGTCAAGCCTTCAAGAGCGGGAAAATTCTTTTTCATCAAATTTGAATTTTCTAATACATACAAAACTCACAAAACAGAAGGTTACTGAAAATTGTAGGGTGGTAATATAGGGTGGTAAAATGTATCACTGCCTCTCTCTTTTATGGAAAATGGAAGTTACATTAACAATATTAAAATTATGTGGTACAAATATGTTCTTCCATAGGTTGTAATAATACCATTAACTATCATGTTGCAACAAAGAGGTACATATAATAATTAAATAAAATAAATTATTTAGTTGTTATTGGGAGATTCGTGATTGATAGTCTACGCACCTAGGGACTGTACTGACTTGACAACACGCCATGATAGTCAAAACGAAAACCAAGGTGAAGTACTACAATGTACCATTTTAGGTGTAACTTGTACTGCAGAATGGGCAGTATGTACCGTTTTATAATTTTTAGACTCGTTAGAAACACAAAGTGACTAAAGTCAGAGTGCACCATTATTAACATAATGGTACATTATACAACCACTTTGTATGTTTATTTTACCACCACAAACTAGTAAAGTCCCAAATGTAAATGGTGCGCATATTCTGTTTCTGGGGTTTTTTTTACAATATTTTTTACCATTTTACTTAGCCAAGTCTACAATTTAACACACATGTCTATTCCTTGGCTTTAAAACCACTAAAAGTTCTCTGTTTATCCTGTTACTAATAACTCTAAACTCCAAAAACATACAACTATGGTGAAAAAAAAGGAAAAGGAAAATAAAACCATTGTCACACCACCTGGTGTTATGGAAAAGTTGGAAAAATGGAAAAAACAGGGCTACCATGATGCAAATGGTGTTGTTAGGGACTCGTTCTTTCTTTGAAGGAGTAGGGAGATGATTTTTTGCCATCAATCCGCTACTATTGCACGTGGTGGTTTAGAAAAACCCATACTCAGGATAGATTTCCACCCTGAGTACCCTTTCCTAACCCTCTTTAAAATTGGTAGGGAACAAATTTTTAGGAAGGAAGATTTTTTTTTTGCATGCACTACCTCGTTGACGCATGCAAAATTGCTGTTGTTGTCAATTTCAAAGAGTTCTTAAAGGACTTGAAAGAGTGATTGCAATACATATAATGTGGCACTTACTTAACCAAGTTTTGGGAGTTGTTCCTACCTCTTCCACTGTGGCATAAGCATGTTGAGTACTTGCTGCAAACACATTGCAATGACACAGATGAGTACGGTTTGCTTTTGCTAGGCCGAAACTTCAGCGCTGATCAAGAAAAGGGTCGTGTCAACGTCACAATGGAGTGGCTTAATCTGTCTGAAGAGGATCCTTACGAGACTATAGTACACGATGAAGAGGAGCGCATGCATTTTAGGAGTCAAATGTTGGCGGAGACTGGATATGATGAAATGAAGCATTTGAAATTAATCACAGCTGAGCGGTTTACCTACACCGACTACCCAAAATGGTATGTGAAAAGGCTTGAGGAAGCAACAACTCGGTTTCAGAACAAGACAGGCCTTGACTCAGCAGACTACTATGAAGGGGGGTATGCATCAAGCGACCATGAAATGATGAATGAACAGCCTTGGCTTGTTTATGACTGGGATTGAACGATTCAAGTTGACAAGAGTTCTCAATTTTTTGGTTTGTTACCCCCTGTTTTAAAAATTTGCCCTTTTGTAGAGTTCAATTCAGCTTATGGTTTATCAAAGTATTTTGTATGATTGGTGAACACTATGATGGGAGTAGTATTATTTGGTAGGGGAGTGTTTTTTATTTATTTAGCCAATCCCCAGTATTTCATATTTTGAAGGATCAAGGAGTAGTCGTTCGTCGTAGGGCATTGTAATGGACTACATAACCTTTTGTACATGAAATTGTTGGTGTGTTGAATGGATAATTAGATTGATCTAACAACTAAAATGATTGCATTCAAAATACATTTAATTGAACGAGTTCATCATGGACAATAATTACTTATCACAACACAATACATCCATAAAGCCTAATACTTTAAATACAATACAACTGCTATGAGAAACAGAGTAAGCCCGATTTTAACTTAATTAATATTATGGTGTTCCAACACCTCCACCCTTTCAACAATTGCAGCAATATTAGGTGGAGGACCGTCTTTAACGAGGTCACCATCGACAACCCATTCCCAGTTGCCGAAAAGACGACATTTGTAGTAAGGCCTCATTGGATTCATCTCGGACATTGATATCCGGAACTCCACCAAGTTTAATCCCGCTCCGGAACAAGAACAATTTTTGGCCGATATCCATGACATTTCAACAGTTGCAACAGGTTGCCTAATAGATCGCTGCACCGAGGAGGAAGATGTGTTTGATTCCATGAACAAAGTGCTTAAGTTTGATTTCATAAGTGGTGAGTCAATTGGGAAAAATGACAAACATATTTATAATAAATTTAATTATTTACTATTGAAAATACAAAAACTCATACATTCACAAAATACAAGGTAGGGAGAAAAATGGCGCCAATACACGTTACCCTTTCGCGCCAAATCAACAAAGGGGCACCAACCCTTGTTAACCACAAAGCGGTAAATTTATCAGTACATCGGTACATTTAAAGTACCATTACAGGCCTAATTTTTAGTGGCGGTACAATTAAGTTCCACTAATAAATCATTTGAGATACACAAGACACTAAAGGGGTTTGAACAAATTAAAAATGGCGGTAAAATACGTTTGGTCTACACGCCAAATGAGCAGTGGGGCCTTACCATTTTCACATCACTTATGGTACAGTAGCAATTTCATAAACAAATACAATGTACCGTTAAGTATCTTAACAAGAAATTATGGTACAAAACTATACTAGTATTAAAGCGTTGGGTTGATATAGGACATGTCCATCATCTAAATGTTATAGGGACTTAAGTACATGATCATTTTGATTTGTTTACTTCCAAAAGGTTGAGCCAAATTTGTAAAACCATTTGAATATGTAATGTTACTATGGAAAGTTCTATAAATTCAATTTTAAGTTATGTTCATTTACAACAAAACTCGTAATTCACTATCCAAGTGCAAGTACATATGGGTACAAATGAGTTCCTCACCTACTATGTCTGACTACGTGAGTAGTTCATGAAGCGCGGTTTATAACTTACCAATATTAGATTTGATTATAATTTTAACTTGTTAGAGTGCTTAGACTGAATATAACCTATCCTCCTAGGTTACACAAAATCATAATGAGTCCTTTAATATTCATTAAACTTACTTTAATGACGATTTTCATTGACACAAGAGTCATAGGGTAAATAATGGTACCCTATATCCACACGAACCCTGATAGTGGTACCCTTGGTTATTTATCCATTGCAACGTTGGTACAATATCCTCCCTGATAGTACAATATGATACCACTTTATTGCTGAGTTATGCTACCATACCGTTGATGGTACATATGAAGTCCTGTTAATAAGGTACACTACATGAATCAAAGGGCCCCAAATGAATTCATATATATATTTATGGGATCCAAACTTAAGTACAATGCGAATTCATAACCCAACCTAATATGCAACTCCAAAAACCGGTAGTAAGTCACTGTTGTATACATCTATGGGTACATGGGTACAATTCGATGATTGACACATAGGTGCCATGGTGGTATGTAGGTCTTTACTTTGCACTTGGAGTGGATCATTAATTTATTTTAATATTACAGTACAATACCTTAAGTAGGCATGGGTGATTTCACGTTAGTACATTATAATAATACTTAAGATGGTTAATTGTCATAATTAAAAAATTGCGCCACATTGTCAATTTTTAAGGACAATTACCAAAGTACACAACTCATACATAGGCGGGAGGAAAAATGGAACATTAAATTACCATTCCTGAAAATTATAAAAACTGCAGCCTCAATGGTACAAAATAGTACACCTATTGTTAAAAGGGTAAATATAAAGTACCATTACATAACAAGTAGTCAAGTAATAAGTCATAACGGTACCTAAGCAATACCACCTTATAGAGCATGCATAACTTTTGTTGCTTATAAAAAAAAAATCATGTCAAATTACAATATTACCAAGAATATTACACAATCACATTCATAGAGTAATAACCAAAACATACGTAGTCTACATATTAACTGCCGTACCAAGTACAAGTGAAGTTTGCTATGGAACCATCAAGGTCTGTCATGTGCACTCCAGCAGACCTGATATACTCATGGCTGGACAATGTGACACTAGTGGTGCTGTTTTTAGCAGCTAGCTTCTTCGCTGCGTTCTTAGCTCGTGCTGCCTTTTCTTTTCCCTTTTTCTCCGTGCATGAAGGATATCTTTTATTAGTGGTCCTGTGATTCTTCTTCTTAGGTAATGGTGGATCAGGAATGACACCTGATTGGTCAGGAATGGCACCAGATAGATCAAGAATGGCACCTGATAAATCAGCAAAAGACCCTTCACAACTACCCTGAAAAGCACTACTTGTAGTTACAGGAGCTGTGTTACGTGCACTGTTATGTGATACCTTGTTCTATCCCACAAATGAAGGGGTAAGTACCAAATCTTTCCCACGCCCACCCTCATCCTCAGGTTGTTGTTGTTCATTAACATTTTCCTCCATTTCCTGTTTTCGCTTTTTTTCGTCCATAGCAATTACCTCGTCAACTCTAAGGTCCATCAACTGCAATAAATCATTCACAGCAACCACAACCTCCTTATAGGAAGCTGCTTTAGAAAAAATCGGTTCATAAGCCCCCATAAGGTTGTGGTACTGCCGAACCTCATCTGTCTTGAGAGGGTCATGGTATGCCACTTTCACTCTTGTATGCTTTCTCTGCATATCTTTCCTCCAACGGCGAAGAATGTATTTCTCAGGTACTATACCTACACCAGAAAGATCGTACACAAAGATCATATGCCGACAAATTATTCCATGGCATTCAAAATGCTTACAGTCACACACTGCCTCAAATGTACTACTATCATACATAACCCTGTAACATCTATGAATTTTCGTTACACTCTCCTTCCTCGCATTCTTCGGCTTGATCCAAACACGATCTTCAAGAATGTACTCCACAAGTTTGTCATAAATTTCTATTTGATCTATACAACGCACATACAAAATTTTTTTACACTTCTGCTGGACTTCTTTGAATTTTGAGTCCGTATAGCACTTTTGGAACACCTCCTCGGCAGGAAATGCTGTTGCTAATTCCCGAACATATCGAAGCGTGTTAGAGTCCGCAATTCTTTCTGCTTCGGCTCTAATCTACATCGCATCACAATATTGGAGCACAAACTTTGACAAAGTGGTGTTCTTGTCAACATAGCCTTTAAAAAAATGATTAAAACTCTCGGACCTCTGAGTTGTTCTCATCCTTGCCCAGAACAGATGTTTCAAGTATGCTGGCACCCACATATGTCTTTCCAAGTACAAATCTGCTCAGAAAATATGTTAACTTTATAACAAAATTCCCAACAAATGGCACTTCATTTTATAAGCATAAAACACACATGATACAACACAAGCAACAGGCAACGCATTTAGAATATACAGGGGGGAGGGATTCGTAATAAGAGCTATACTTTTAAGTCTATGATCACCACAACAACAACCATAAAGTATAAGTTCACATTCTTCAAATACCACACCTAACACCAAGTTAGGAACAAATCATTAACAAAAAATTATAGTAAGGAACAAATCAAACACTTTCCCAGATATCTATTAATTAAAACACAACCATAATGCAAATTAAAACTATAGAACCAAATAAGAACTACCATACCTTCAAGCCAACTATTTTTTTGCAACTTATAGTGCTGAATTGCATCCATCCAATGATCATCAATCCTCAGGAACTAAACTCCCATATATTATATTTTCCAATTCATCACTCAATTCTTCTTATTTCTCCAACTTCCCAAGATACTTTCCAAACTTCTGCAAAATATGCCATATGCACCACCTGTGACATGTTTGATTTAAGACCAAATGAACAGCTTTGCGAATGGCAGGTTCTTGATCCGTAAGTATGGATGTTTGAGCTTTATCACTCATGCAATTCAGCCAAGTCTTGAACACCCACGCATACGTCTCAACAGTCTCACGGGAAATCAACGCACAACCTAACAATATACTCTGCCCATGATGGTTAACCCCAAGAAAGACAACAAATGGGAGATGGAATCTGTTCGTCAAATACGTACTGTCAAAGCATACAACGTCGCCAAATTCTTCATAGGCAGCCCTACTCCTTGCATCAACCCAAAGAACATCCTGCAATGCACCATCCTTCCCAAACCTACAGAGGTGGAAAAAATTCTGATTGTCGGAACTCATTTTTTGGAAATACTCAATCATACCATTTGCGTCACCCTCGATCAACTCCAATTTCTTCAACTCAGAAACTGCATTCTCCAAAACTTTTTGCGTAAAGGCCAACTGATCAACCCCATTCCTCTCCCGAGCAATACAACTGTACGTTTGTGAAATTTTCACCCTTGACTTCTTGGCATTACAGGCCTGTTTAACCAAATGCTTATTTTTAACAACCAACTCATGCTTACGAAACATGGAAACATCCCTTGCTTTTCTTGGAGTGACTATGTGCCTTTTGATTAGGGGATTTTTCTCCCACCAATCGGAATGCGCCATTTCAAAAAAGAATAAAATAAAGAGAAAATTAAGAGTAAGAGAACCGACGGTTACCTGAACGAGTGATGATTGATGGAGTTCTGAAAATCCTATGCAGTCGGCTTGTCAGAGGAGGCGGTAGGCAGAAAGGGTCCAAAATGTCAGAGCAAGTTCAGGGGTCCGAATGTTCTCTCAAAAAGTTCTCAAGTGTGAAAATGACTGAAGTCAACACTCCCTTATATAAGCGAAGTGAGAAGGCGAAGGGTCACTTCCAAAATTCAAAATTTGGGCGGGAGATTCTCTCGGCCTTTCGCCGAGTGACACCTGTAGCAGGCCGTCGCCTGTCACAGTGCGACATCTGTCACAGGTAACACGTGACCAGTCACGTGCCACCTGTGAGGGGCAAATGATTAGGGGATTTTGCTCCCACCAATCGGAATGCGCCACGTGGGCCAATCAGGTCCTGCCAAGTGTCCCCCAGTTGGAACTGTCAGGGCTTGCCACGTGGCACACGCCTATTCGTCCACCCTGGACCTATTATGTCAGGACACGTGGCATCCTCCATGCCTAATGGAGAAACCGGCCACCTAGGCCCAACTTCCAAGGGAAGCCCAATCAGCCCTAGGTTAACCTAAACCTAGGATTGACACGTTTCCCAAGATTATAAATACCTCCCTTAATCCTCATTAAGGGGGATTACGCACATTTAACACTCTCACCTAGAGAGACCCAATCACCTTTATTTCCGCATTAATTACTCCTTAATCAAGTACTAACTTGACCGTCGGAGGCGGATCTCCAATCATCCGGAGCATCCGTTTGTTTTGCACGTACATGCGTCCGGTTCCAGTCTCGGAATTGTAACTCTCCCGCAGGACATCAGAAAACCCCGAAACATTTTGGCGCCGTCTGTGGGGAGAGTACTTCTGAGATGGCATCCACGTCTGTACCGACTCCTGAAGAGAGGCGTCCCCTAGACGACCCTCAAGTTCAGTCGGACCATGATACTGAGAATGAATTTGAAGTTGAAGCTCACACAGCTTCAGACGGGACCCTAAGGGCCCGACGCACCCGTCATACCGAAAGGAGGGAACGGGAACATCTTCAAACTGGACTCAGTGATCCAGCAGGCGCACCGCCTGTTCAGCAGCAGCCGGCTGATGGGTCTGCTCCCATTACAAGGAAAAAACTCATGACCTTCATGAGGGGCTTCAAGAGAGAGATTCAAGAGTTGCTCAACAAGAAGCCTGCTCTGGCCAAGGAACAGTCGGCTAAGAAACCTTCCACTTCAGGGAAGAGGAAGCTAATTCAAGGGCGAGAGGCGACCCCTCATCCTAACTTTAGGAAGTGGGGGCCGCCTGCCCTTGATTTCACAAAGTACCGCTTTCCTACTCCAGGAAAGAGGAAACCTGTTCGTCATATTCAGGCGGACGGGTCGAAGAAAACATACACAGATGCTCGGCTATTGCTAGAGCAGAAGAAGAATGACCGATTGTCAGAATCGACCTCTACTTCAGACTTCCAAGACAGTCTACGGAATACCTCGATGAAGTATACTCAGTCGTATCATGAGAGTCAGTCAGGCGGCACCTCCCGTCAGTCCGGCTTTCATAGTGACCAGGCGGTACCAAACTTACCATTTGTACCGCAACAACAATATTTTTTGCAGCCACCTCTGTTTGGTGGGCATGCAGCAAAGAATGTCCAACCTATGAACTGGCAGCTACGGTTGCTTAGACTTGGGGAACAGCCGTCGGCCTTCTCCAAGGAAATTACTGAAGCCGCTCAGCCGGCCAAAGTAAAAAATGTATTAGTAGGCGCCTATGACGGCACTACTAACCTAGAAGACCATTTGATGGCATTCACCAACCTGATGTATCTTCAAGGGTTGGATGATCCCACTTGGTGCAAGTGTTTCCCAGCGACTCTCAAAGGAATCGCACAACAATGGTTCGGCAACCTGCCGGCTGGTTGTGTGAATAAGTTCAGGACGCTTGCTTACTTATTCACCTCCAACTTTGCCATGAACATACCTGCGAAGAAGACGACCCTTAGGAACGATTCAGCAGGGCGAGAAGGAGGGGCTTCGTTCTTACATCAGGCGGTTTAACCTGATGAGAATACAGATTCAACGGTTACCGGATGAGGTAGCCTATACTGACTTTTTCAGAGGCCTCAAAGACGGATCGACATTCAAATTTGATTTGGTCCGAAAGAGGGTGGCGACTCTTCAAGAGGCCTTGATTGAAGCAGAAGCCTATATACAGGCGATTGATCTTTGTAGTACAAAGCAGTCGGACGGGAAAAGGTTCGACAAAAAAGAAGGACGACAGAAACAGTTGTCGAACAAAGATGAGAAGAAAAGAAAAGAGCTCTGGGCGGCTGATTCCTCTAAACAGCCGGCCCAGAAGAAGAAAAAAGAATTCAAACCATACTCCCCAAAGTATGTGTTTAACAAGGATAGCCAAGCTATCCTAAAGGAAATCAAGGGACGGATCACAATTGAGAAGCCGGTCCCCATGAAGGGTTCTGCAAGCAACCGGAACCAAGAAAAATTTTGTGATTATCATGAAGATGTTGGTTATCACATCAACGAATGCATCAGTCTCATGCGGTATCTGGACCGCCTTGCTGAGCAAGGCGATCTTGACTCTTATGTCAAGAAATCTACTAGGAACACCTTCTCGAAAAAGCAGTCGGCCAAAAAGAGTCAACAGGCCGACAGCTTTGATACAGATGATGCAGTCGTCTACACCATTGGAGGCGGCTTCGCAGGAGGCGGTCCCACTATTAGGGGCAACAAAGACAATATCAGGTGGCTAGATGTAAATTCCGTTCACCAAGAACGACCCTCCAAATATTCATTTCCTGAGATTGTCATCACTGAAGAAGATCTAGGAGGGGTAAGGGGGCCGCATGACGACCCTATCGTTATTGAGTGTAAAGTGGCCAACCAGAGAGTTGGCCGAATCCTTATAGATACTGGAAGCTCCTCAGATCTTATCAGTAGCAAATGTCTGTCAAAATTAAAATATCAGACTGATTGCATACATCCGGCATCCCACCCTTTAGTAGGGTTTGGAGGAGGAGTCGTCCACCCAGTGGGACGAGTGGATTTGCCCATCCGCCTGGGTGAAAAAGGGGAAGGACGACACATGGTAGTCTGGTTCTTGGTAGTAGAAGAACTCTCGGCCTACAACATGATTCTGGGACGAACAACCCTGAATAATTCCAAGGCTGTTATAATCCCATCTCTTATGTTGCTCAAGTTTGAGAGGGATAATGGAACAGTCGGGTCCCTAAGGGGAGATCAGAGGATGGCCCGAGAGTGCTATCTCTCGGATATCAAGCCCACTGTTATGACCGCTGGGTCACATGGTGGAAAAACAGACCTTGACAATGTCAAGGAGAGTGCGCCTGTTCAAGAAGCAGGCGGCAAGAAGAGAAAGGCAGCCCAGACGGGGGCCGCAAGGAAAGACAAGCAATAGCAATCATTGGCAGAGGAGCGGTCGGATGAATTCCGCCCTCAGCCGGCTGGTGAGCATACGGACCTGATCTTAGACGACTCACGTCCTGACCGAACAGTCAAAGTTGGGACGACTGCTCTGAGAGTTCTGGATGACGATTCGCACAAACTATTGAAAGAATACAAGGACATCTTTGCATTCGAAGTCCACGAAATGCCAGGCATTAGTCTTGACCTGGCGGTACATAAACTGGTTGTGGATTCGAAAAAGAAGCCGGTAAGGCAGAAAAAACGGAACCATGGCGAAGAAAGAAGTCAGGCGGCAGTCGCCGAAGTTAAAAAATTACTTGATGCAGGGTTCATTCGGCAATGTTACTTCCCAGACTAGGTTGCAAATGTGGTGCTTGTTAAAAAGCCGAATGGCACCTGGCGAATGTGTGTAGACTACACAGAATTAAACAAAGCGTGCCCCAAAGACAGTTACCCTCTGCCTAAAATTGATAACCTGGTCGACTCAACAACCGGCCATGCTTTAATGAGCTTCATGGACGCCTACTCTGGTTTCCATCAAATTCCTTTATGGAAGAAAGATCAGGAGAAGATGGCCTTCGTCATTGATCAAGGGTTATACTGTTACACGGTCATGCCGTTCGGTCTTAAGAATGCCCCGGCCACCTTCCAGCGAATGATAAACACTGTGTTCTTTGATCAGATAGGGAGAAACGTCGAGGCATACATTGATGATATGATTGTCAAGTCTAAGCTTCAGACATATCATCTGTCGGACCTCCAAGAAACTTTCGCCACACTCAGGCGGCACCATGTCATGCTAAATCCCAAGAAATGTGTATTTGGAGTTGAGTCTGGGAAATTTCTCGGATTCCTTATCAATCAGAGAGGAATAGAGGCGAACCCTGAGAAGGTGCAGGCGGTCATCGACATGCAGTCGCCTCGTACCGTCCGGGAGGTTCAGAAGTTAACAGGTTGTCTGGCGGCCTTGGGAAGATTTCTAAGCCGATCAGGCGACAAATGCTTATACTTCTTCCAGGCCATTAAGAAGAAGGCAAGGTTTGAATGGGGGCCGGATGCTGAGGCGGCCTTCCAGAAATTGAAAGTTCGCTTGCATTCCTTGCCAAGGCTGGTCAGCCCTTTGCCCAAAGAAGTACTCTACATGTACCTGGCCGTCTCTGATCATGCGTTAAGCGTTGTTCTTCTTGCTGAAAGAGACGGCTATCAGCTCCCGGTCTACTTTGTTAGTCATGTATTGAAAAATGCCGAGTTGAGGTATCCCTTAGTGGAGAAATTTGGTCTTGCACTCTTCATGGCTGTTAAAAAATTGAAGCCCTACTTTTTGGCACATGCAGTCGTCGTTTATACAGATCAACCTATCAAGCGACCACTGACCACCATGGAGTTGTCAGGCCGGATGATCAAATGGGCCATAGTAATACAGAGCCTCAAAGTTACTTTCGAG